AGATCCATGCGAATCAATTGTAACGCTTGTGAGGAGGATGGGACTTGTTTTGTCTTGTTAGAGCTCCTTATCATCTTGCCTAATTTGCAGGCACCACAATGATTGTCAGCGGAAGTCTTCAGAGTAGGCAGCCCTTTCACAAGTTTTCTCTTGGACAGAAAGATCAGATGTTTAAAGTTCAGGTGAGATAGGCGCCTGTGCCACAGGCTGTTCTGTTCAGAGGAAGCTTTGGACAACAGACAGATGGAAGAAGTTGTTTGGACACTTTTCAGATCAACAGTGTACAAGTTTGATGTCCTGTTACACGTTAATAATGTGTTACCATAGCTGTCAATCACGCAACAGTGTCTTGATTTGAACTTCACTTCCATCCCGCTATCACAAAACTGTCCAATTCTTAACAGATTGTGCTCCAGTTCTTTCACATATGAGACAACCCTTATGGTGACACTCGGACAGATGACATCTCCATATTCAAGAATAGGAGATGATGCGTTGTTGCCAAATCTCACATTTCCTCCGTAACACGACGTGTAGTTGCTCAGTAGATGTCTTATTCCGGTCATGTGGGTTGAGCATCCAAAATCTAAGTGCCACACATGACTGTTCTGCAAAACAATTAAGTTTTCTTAGGTACCCACCGAAGGATGGGTCCTTCCTTATTAATCAGAAACATCTTTTTAAATTTTTCTTTGAGCTGTGATCCAAGGTCAACAGCTTTCTCAGTCAGGGTTTGAACTTTTTCTTTTTCAGATTCAGACTTAGGCATCCATTTTTGTTTGATTGAGGGAGGAGACGAGACATGATCACTGTGAGTGAATGGATGTTGATTAAGATATGGCTTAAAAATTGCTTCTTTAGGGAGTCTTTTCAGATGTTTCTTTGAATGAATCTTGAGGGGATATTTTAAGTGCAAAAAGTCATAATAGCCCTCAACAAATTCATTCTCAGATTGCTTTCTTGAATTTTGTTCATTCTTTCTTTTCCATCTCACATCATTCACATCACTATCAAAATCAGAACTTGATAAACTACCATCATATGCATAAACATCATCAGAAGATACAAAAGGTTCAACATTAGACTTAGAAACATTCAGCTTGGGACTCAAGACTGAATTTTGACTACAAGACTGCCCAACCGTGCCAGAGCTACATTTATTTTTGACATAAAGCATTGCGCTTGAACTAGACTTCTTATTTTTCAAAAACACTATCTTCTTTCCTTCAGCAACCTCTCTTCTTCTCAACTTCCACTCCTCTCTCTTCTCCCATCTCCGACTCACTTTGGTTCCTGTAACCGAAGTAGACTTGGAGTGAATAGGTGGTTTTTCAAAAACGTTCTTAATTTTGTTGTCATGATCAATGATTGAGTCAGTACTACTTGTAGATTGGGTAGCTGTGTTTGACTGGGATTGTTCTTTTAAAAGAGTAAGTTCATTCAACAGTCTGTCACGCTCACTCTCAAAACTCTTCCTCTCTTCTTCAAAACTTTTTCTTTGATTTTCAAGAGAAATGTGTAAGTTTTCAACTTTCTTTATTAGAGGAGGAATGTATGGTTCATCTACATCAGACTGTGAGTTCGAGGGAGGTTCCAGATCAGACACAGCTTCCTTCTCAGAAGGATAAGGACTCACGCATTCATCAGAAGAAAAGACGGGTTCAGCTGTAGCATAACTTTTGTTCAAAACAGAATAATCAAAAGAGATTTGAGCTTTTGTGCTGTTTGTTCTTTTCTCAGCCTCAAGTTCTTCTGTTTCTTTTGCCGCAGTGAAATGCATGAGCTTGGTCAGACCGAACCCCATATAGTTAACATCATACAGTTGTTTACATTTATCCTTTTTCAGGTTGCAGGGATTCGATAGACCAAGTTCTTCTTTGGAGTTATAGAAACGGGTATCCTTGGGCTGATTTAAGAAAATTGTTTGTTCAGTTTGATCACGTTTAGCTAACAGATCCTCAAGCTCCTTAATCTTCCTATAAAGAGAATTTCTTTGATCATGCAAAACCTTTTTCAATCCAATTGTTTGGTTAAGCTCTGTCTTGGTGTCACGCAGCTCACGAGTCAAGTCAGTGGTCTTAAGTGCCAACTTGTCTGTTTCTAGGGTCAGGTTTTCAACCTTCTTTATAGATTCATCAAGTTTTAAGGATAGGCAGACATTCTTATGCAAGTTCTTAAGTACGACTTTATGATTGTTATCAAGTCTCGCCTCAAGTTCCTTAATGATTTTATCCTTTTCAACTAAAGAATGATTTTTGCAGTTGCAAGAACATGAGTTTTTAGAAGGACTTACATTGATGTTTGAGCCTTCACTTTCATCATCTTCGGGGATCGCAGCATCACCCTTTCTTTCATCTTTCTCTACAATCGCCATCAAAGCTAAGTTCTCTTCTTCCTCATCTGAAGAATCATCCTCCATCCAATGGTCCTTCTCAGCGAGCAGTGCAGCATTCTCATCTTCTTGCTTTGCCATGAACATCTTTTGCTTGTTCAGGAGCATTTTCTGCTTGTAGTAATTGAAGTCCCTTCTTTTTGGTAGGCGACAATCTTTGATCAGATGTCCAGCCTTCCCGCAATTAAAGCATTTAGGAGGTTCTTCTGCTGCAATGACTCTTTCTGAGGAATTCTGCTCAAATTGCTTTGGCTTGTAGTTGGATGAGGAGGTTCTCAGCTTGTTGGATGAGTGTTCTTCTTGACAAACCTTCTGTTGTATTGTTTGGTCAAGAGTGCCATTTTCTTCTGCAGCTCCGCTAGTTCAGATTCCACATCAACTTCTTCATCGCTTCCTTCTTCTTCTGACACTATTGCAGCTTTCTTCTTCTTTTGCATCCTAGCTGTACTCCTCGTTTGAGTTTCCAGCATAAGAGCAAATGGATCAGCAATTTCGGGTTCTGCAGTGTCGTTTACAAACTGTTGGAGATGGTCATGAATGGTGTAAAGATCAACTTCATCAAGATCCAGATTCTGTCTCACACTCTTCACTGTTCTCTTCCATTCAGGGCTCAGACTTGATAGAAAACGTATGTTCAGTTCCATGTTGGCTTTGTTCACGTTGATCTTTCGCAGGTCATTCACAAGCTTAACAAAGCGGTTATACGTCTCGTGCAGAGGTTCACCAGGTCTGGCCTTGAAAGAATCATAGGCACTGAGAGTGCTTGCCTTCTTGGTTTTCAAACCTAGATTGGTTCCTTCCATCAGCTTTCTGATTTCATCCCACATCTCCTCAGCGGAATCCATGCTGTCAATCAGGATATAAATATCATTGGGAATTGCTTGGACCAAGTACGTTTTCTCCATCAAATCAGCTTTGATTCTCAATCTATCCTCTTCAGTGTACATATCAACCGGCTTGGGTACTCTCACTTGATCAACAGGGGGCTCATTGTCATTGACACCTCCAAGAACCATCATAATTGAGCTGGTCCCTCTGTTAGTGATTCCAGCATGGCTGAGGAATTGTCTTTGCTTTCAAGGAAGTTGAGAAATCTGTTCTTCCATGTCACGTACTCATCTCTCCGAAGAATAGGGGGTCTGTTGTCGTTTCCCATTGAGAGAGTGTCCATTGCTGCTGTTCTTAAAAAAGACCGTTCGAGTGATTGATCTGTCACAAAAATATTTCTAAGTATAGATTATCGAAAAGTGAAACTTCGAAAACTAGGTTCGAGAACTTAAGGGTTCGAGAAAGATTATCGAGAAGTAAGTTTTCGATATTAAAAATTCGAAAACTTTGTTTTCGATATAGAGGTTCGAAAAGTGAGATGTCTAAAAGTCGAATATCGAGAAGTCCAATTCGAGAACTGAACTTTTCGATATATTGAATATCGAGAACTGAAATCGAGAACGTGTAATATCAAAAACAAATATTTCAAAGGATAAATATCGAAAAGTACTAGCGCGAGAAGTCAATATCGAAAACTAAGTTCTCGAGCTTAATGTCGAGATCATCCTATCGAAATCTTGTACTTAAAAATTTTCAGAATTTTAAAAACGAAGACTGCTGCTGAGTTGTTTTCGATTTCAAGAAACTTCCTTTATCAATCTGATTTCGAGAAACCTGCTTAATGTATCGAGAACCTGCTTTTCGATATGATAATACCGAGATTTCAAATCTCAAAAATTACAGGTATCAAAAATGAAGATATACTCCTGGTTCGTTTTTGAAAGGAGAATTCAGCAGTATAACTTTTACAAATAAATGTCTAGAAACAGGTTTACAAAAGCAAATTTAAGAAAATGTCGAGAAGCCGAAAAACAGAGCAATTCTTCGCAGTTTTCTTCGACGAAGATCAGTACTCGATCGGCTCTGATACCAGTTGTTGGTCCCAAATACCAAGATCAATGAACAGCTAAATAAGATCTACAATAATATAGAGAAGGATTCTTAATAATGATCGAGAGATAATCTGAACAGAAGAAATCCTTACGCTATACTATCGAGAAAGTAGAAACGAAAACTCTGAGTGAAAAGTACTGTGTATTGCTGATTTTCGATTATTCGGTCCTGTACCACATGTACGCATATTTATAGGCGTAGGTACAGGTACCGAAATGGTAACCTAGAACTTTGGGCCTAAGGCCTTTTGGGCCCTATTCCCTTAGTTGATTTATTCTTTACATAAAAGCTACTACGTATAAGAGATAAAACTATTCTAATTGAGATAACAAGACTCTAGACAAACTTGATCACAATAAATATTTTCCTCAACACCCTCGCTAAACCAGAGAGAATAATCGGCTACGAATGTGGGTTTAGGCACACCGGCCAATGCGAGAAGAAAAGGTATTGAGCCGTCATCTCTGCGTTTCTTCGATTTTTTACTTGATTGTACTTTATTTATACCATATCACCATCACCTTGTTAATTTTCTACTGAAATTGAGGATTCTATAGTTTATTTTGCTTTTCGGGCACTGTTCATGTTCTTAATAACTACGGTTTCATATGTATTGTACAATTTTCACTATCATTATTTGGCAATAATTCGATGATACCTGCTGCAGATAGTTCATTTATTTCGACGCTTCTTTGAGCGATGCAAACCATTTCCTGTTTCCCTACTTTGGATTTCTATAAATCGGCATCTATAATTCAAAGAAACGGCCAGGGCAAATCACTGCTTGATTTGTAAGCATACTCTTCTAATAAAGTGAGTGGGATTGTCAGATAGTGGGGGTATAGATTAACATCAAATTTAATTGTGATAATGTGTTCCAGTACTTGCTTTACATTCCTCTCTTAATTAAGGTTATTTTCTTCTTGTATACATTATGATTAAGTTTATATGCTACAAACTACTAACTGAATAGAGCTACTTTTCCTGGATATAGTGAGCCATGTTGACTTGGGTTCTACTGGTTATGCAGGCTTACTCAAGAGGAAGGTTAATTTTTCTATGCATAATGATTGCATAATTATAAATACAATAATTATGTTAAGAAATCATATGTCTTTGCTTAAGTCTGTCTTCTCCTGTTTTAATTATAAAAGTATATATGCTTGAAATGTGATAGCAAAAGGAGCTTGGAGCTAATATCATGGACATTGATCGAGCGGATACATGGCTCTAGGGCCATCAGGGCAAAGATGGAGAATTTGATGAAGAAGTGAAAGCTATGGATAAAAAAAATAGTAAGTCTCATCTAACTCACATTTTAAACCGGGTTTATTTGCAGTTAGTATTATTCATATTATGTCATGTGAACATAAATTGAACATAGAGAGACAGAAAACTAAAAAGTTAGTCATGTTCATGTTGGAAAATATTCCATTTTAGTGCCCTTGGACCATTTATATAATTTAATAAATATTGGGGACATTTATGTCTTACCATTAAGTTTGCCATATGACAGATTTGGTCCCTATATTTATGTATAGTTAACATATGATGGGTATGTTTTAACATTAAATAATACAAGGGACCAAAGGGGTTTCTCTTTGATATAAACATATACACCCGTTCGGTTCTTATTCTTACGACAAAAGAAGAGACACGCCTCTTCCTTAGGGTCTCAAGAACACCATTATATAGAGAGTCAAATGAGAATCGATCAATCCATCTCAAGGGGTTTGTATCCTTGGAGAATCTTAACGTCATGGCTTCGTCATCTTCAACGGCACCATCAATACTCGGTTTCTCCTCAACCGGTTAGTGTTCTTATTGATTGATTCTATGAATTTTATCATGTTTAGTGGGATTAGATCCTTAATTGGGACTGAATTCTCAACATTTGGTATCCGAGCACGTTAATTCTCGCTGACGTTGATAAAATTTGAAGTTTTCAATCTGCCTAAATGATTTATTGGGAGTCAATAACTAACTTTGATGTCAAGGAGAGGATGACTTCGGAGAACCCTACGAGTAAGACGGCGCAGCCGTCTCCGGCACAACCACCGCCGCTGGGTAACGCTTGGGCTGGGAATAAACGTTCGTTTGTCTCAGTCCTTCTCAATAAAGAGGATGTTGCTCTTTCATCATCCATTCATACTCGTTACAAGGGCTTGCCAGCAGCTTCGTTTTCAGAGGAGGATGTCCATATTTTGGCTGACAAGCATAGAAGATCACTCGTTGGATATTTTTACAAGGTAAGGCCTCCAATGAATACTATTCGTAGATCATTTGAAATTATCGGATTTAAAGGGGGGTTTCACTTAGGTTTGTTGGAGAAAAAGCATGTTCTTATACGTTTCGATTTGGAGGAAGATTACATCCGATGTTGGGATAGGCAAAAGTGGGATATTCATGGTAATATTATGAGGGTTACCAAATGGTCACCCGAGTTTCGGCCAAACGTGGAATCACCCGTGGTTCCGGTATGGCTCACTTTTGAGGGGCTTCCAATACATTTACATGATAAGAGAGCATTGTTCCTAATTGCATCCTTGATCGGAAACCCCCTTAAACTTGATGTTGCTATTGCTACTTTGGCTAGACCATCCCTTGCGCGCGTTTGTGTAGAGTTGGATCTAACTAAAGAGATGCCAAGGAAAGTGTGGATACAGACTGGAAAAATAGGCTTTACTCAGTCTGTAATATATGAGAATATGCCTTTTTATTGCCTCTCATGTTTCCACTTGGGACATGAGGCACACAATTGTCCTATAACGGTGAGTGATACTATGCAGTTGACTGCTGGGGAACAAAAACAGTTGAATCATCTAACAAAAGGACCCAAATGGGTGGCAAAAACTCAGCAGACCAAAGCAAATGCAAAGGATTTAACACTTGGGAAAGAGGCGGATAATGTTACACATTCTGGGATAGATACTGTTCAAAGTAAAAAAGAAACATCTGGGATTATGCAGGATAAAGGAAAAGCTGTAGTGGTTTTTCAACCATCTCAAAGCCAGCCATCCACATCACATCAACGGCCTTCCAACTCACAGCCTGCTCACTATGACCGGCAAGAAGACACAGATACAGAGGAGGTATTCCATGAAGTCCCTCCAAACAACAAAGCAAGTAGCAGTCAGAGTAAGATGGTTAACTGGACACAATTTCTTCAGACTGAAATCCCTGGTCTCTCAAATACCAAAAACTGTGGTAATATTAGAGATGATTTTTTCATACATGTGATGGAAAAACAGTCTGAATACGATCCTGAGCTTGCATCCAAGGAGTATGGCTCTGATTCAGAGCCTCCAAATAAAACTGAAAGTAAGCAAGATTGGTTAAAGCCTTACCCAGTCTGATTAACAAAGTTACAACGATGGTTGCTTCAAGAAGAATCAGAGATGACACTGAGTTGCTTTCAGCTTTGGCAGTGCAAAATGATACTACCCAAGAAGGAAAAGAAGAGGAGAAGGGATTTATTATGGTAGGGAGAAGGAAAAGACAAAAGAAACCAACCCAACAAGGCCCGGGGATGATCACTAGGAGTGTTGCTAGGAAGCAATCACATACTACCCCTAATCCTTGTCCATGAATGCTCTTATATGGAATGTGAGAGGTCTGGCTGCCTCCGGGCCAAGACTAACTCAATTAATCAACTATTGGAGGATTCATTTACTTATAGCTATTGAACCTATGGTTGACTCAAATAAGGCTGATAACTTCAGGCTGGATTTTCGTTTTACTAATGTGCTTTTTAATACTTTGAACAAAGTTTGGATTTTTTGGGACTCCAATTATATCAAAATCTCTGATATCTCTTGGAACTCTCAATTTTCTCATTTCAAAATTGCCAGTGGAAATAATACAAGATGGATTACTGCAATATATGCTAAACATACTCATGTGGAGAGAAAGGAATTATGGGATCATCTTAAAATCTTTGCAAGTACTATTCACAGTCCCTGGTTAGTTGGTGGAGATTTTAATGCTATTATATGTAATGCAGAGCATAAAGGGGGATCTATTCCTAATCTGGCTAGCATGCTGGAGTTCAAAGATTGCATTTCTGATCGCAATCTTATTGACTTACCATACTCTGGCTGTCAGTTTACTTGGTCAGGGGTTAGATCTAGAGGAAGGCTTTGGAGAAGACTGGACAGATGCCTGGTGAATGATGGTTTCCTAGACTGCTATGATCAAATTAAAATATCTAATCTGAATCAAGCTCCTTCTGACCATTGCCCTATGTTAATTCAGTACAACAATCAGTATGAATCAGGGCCTAAATCTTTCAAATTTCAAAATATGTGCTTTTCTCATAAAACTTTTTTAAGTAATGTTGAAAAGAGTTGGAATGAAAGCTTCACAGGTGGTGGCATGCAAGGTCTGGTTGTCAAGCTTCAAAGGCTTAAAAAAGACCCGAGGAGATGGAACAAGGAGGTATTTGGCAATATTTTTGATGAAATTAATTTCTGTGAACAAGAGGTCTCAAAGGCAGAGCAAGATTTTCAAAATAATCCTACAGAGACTAATAAGGAGAAGTGGCAGCACAAGAAGACACTTCTTTTGAGTAAATAAAGACTTGAAAGAAAGTTTTGGAAACAAAAGGCACATATTAGATGGCTTAAGGAAGGTGATTGCAACTCTCATTACTTCCATAATTATGTGAAAATCAGAAGAAGGAAACAAATGATTAACACCATTAAGGACTCAAGGGGCAGGGATCTTTCAACTTTACCTGAGATTGGACAAGGTGATGTGGATTTCTTCACTGATCTATATGCTGTGGATCCTGAGACTTCTAGTAATGATATTCTGGAAATATCCCTGCAATCATCAATCAAGAGGATAATAATTATCTTATTGAATTACCCACAGAAGAGGAAGTCAAGGCAGCAATTTGGGACTTAAATCAGAATGATGCACCAGGCCCAGATGGTTTCACTGGAAAATTTTACAAGAAATGTTGGCATATAGTGGGGGTTGATGTGGTGAAGGCTGTTCAGGAATTTTTCATTGGGATTCCACCACCCAAAGGAATTTCTAGTTCCCTAATAGTTCTGATTCCAAAAACAGATACCCCCACTACATTTGCTGAGTTTAGGCCCATCTGCCTGTCCAATTTTACTAGTAAAATTTGTACCAAAGTATTGGCTGCAAGGTTAGTAAAGTTGCTTCCTAAAATTATCTCTGAAGAACAGGCTGGGTTTGATCCGAACAGAGATATTTCTGATCAGGTACTTATTGCTCAAGAATTAATTCATTCTATTGATAAGAAGGTAAGGGGTTCAAATGTGGTTATTAAATTGGATATGGCAAAGGCTTTTGATAAGCTATCCTGGAAATATTTATTTGATGTTCTGGCTAGATTTGGTTTCAGTAGCAAATTTATCTCCTTGATCAGATCTAATCTGCAGTCTACATTCTTATCTATCCTCATTAATGGCAGCCCTCAAGGCTATTTTCAACCTAAAAGGTGGGTCAAACAGGGTGATCCTATTTCCCCTTTTCTCTTTATTATAGCCTCAGAAGGTTTTTCAAGGAGTCTTAAAGCCAGAATGAATCAGGGTTATATTAAGCCATACTGGATAGGTATGCAGGGGTACCCTATCAGCCACTTAGGGTTTGCTGATGATTTGTTAGTTCTTACAAATGGAGAATCCAAGTCTTTGGTGAGATTTTCAAACTTTCTCAAAGAATATCAGGCTGCTTCAGGACAAACAGTCAATTTAGACAAGAGTACTTTTATATGTGGGAAGAAGGCTACTTGCAGATGTGCAGCTATCCAGAGAATTTTGGGCATGAGGAGGTCCAGTCTGCCAATTAAATATCTTGGTTCACAACTGCATAAAGGGATGACAGATTTCAGTTTTGCAGCCAGATCATTGATCACTTTGATACTAAACTTTCTTCTTGGAAGCAAAAAAATCTTACTCAAGGTGGCAGGTTGATACTGATAAAACATGTTCTTAGCTCTATACCTAATCACATCCTAGCTACTGATAAGCTTCCCAAAAAGGTTATTACAACACTTGAAAAGAAAATGACAGCATTTTTCTGGGGATCAACTGATACTACAAATAAGGTGCATTGGGCAAAATGGTCCAAACTTTGTTGTCCTTTTGAGGAAGGTGGTCTGGGGATGACTCTTGCTGATATGGAAAAGGCATATTCTATGAAGTTATGGTGGAAGTGGAAAACTCATAATTCCCTATGGTGTGATTTTATTAAAGCAAGATACCCTAGGGGAGATGATATGAGACCTATGGTAACTGATTCTACTGTCTGGAGAAGAATATGTGGAATTAATGAAATAGCAACTGACCTTTGCTCCATTGGCTCCTCTGGAAACTATGAATGGGACCCGGGTATCAATGGTTCATTCTCTATTAAATCTGCTTACAATGAAATCAGGGAAAGCAAGCCAGTCACTTTTTCCGCCCTGCATATTTGGAACAAGAATCAGCATATGACAATAAAGATGTTTGTGTGGAAATTGCTTAATCAGTACATTCCTATTCCTGACAATTTACAGAGGTTTCAGCTCACTATTCAGCCTACAAGATGCCCACTATGTAAAAATCATGGAGAAACCACTGATCATATCTTTTATTGATGTTCCTACACAAAAAAGATCTGGCAGTATTTTATGGGGATCTTTGGCATTATTCTTCCTGGCTTTGTATCAATTAGACAGGTACTTATCCAATGGTGGTTAGAGGCAGGTTCTAAGACCTTATATGATATTTTTAAACATAACCTACCTGGGATAATTTGCTGGCATATTTGGAAGGTTTACTCTTCTTATACATGGGTGGCCCAGCTCTTCTGGACAGAGCTGATGCATCAAGTGAAGATGAAAGGAAACAAAGGCAGCACCATCCCTTACGCTCGGTGGCTGGCACTGATGATCAATAACATTATGGAGGCCACCCCGATCATGCCGAAACGTAAGGAAGACAAGCACTTCATCGCCCCCAAGCTCAAATATTTTCAAAGAGACAGCAACAAAGCTGAAGCACTGCCTATCCCGGACTCACTGCTTGATCTAGCAAACCCAAGGGACAAGACAGTCATCGATTATAAAGAGTCGCTGAAGAGAACAGTTCCTATGGTTCAGCAAAACCCAGCTGAACCTTCCTAGGGAACTAAGCCGAGAGCGAGTGAGGGTAAAAAGAAGAGAGCCCAGCCACAGAAACCAGTGGCAACCCGGCCTAATGATGACCGGTCTGCTAACTCTTCCGAGAGGACCCAGACTGTTGAGGGCCACCCCATCAATGCTGAGGACACTGTCGATGAACCATCAATCCAGGCCCCTTCAAATAAGGCTGGTGGTGAGGCCTCTGATAGCATGGCCAAGAGGAATGATGATGATGATGCAGATGATGATGATTGTGAAGGAGTGCTGATCAGCAATAGAAGAAGAGCTAGCAAACAGGCCATTCCGATCACCTCCGACACTTCATCGGACAATGAAGAGGCTGCTCATACGCCACAACCACTGAAGGGCATTGTCATCAATGAGCAGCGCTCCAAGCACAGAAATGACGGTCCTGCATCATCAAAGCCTAAGAAGAGGCTCAGAAAGAAGAGTGCAGTGGAGGAAAAGTTGGACCTATATGCAGACTGCGACACCTTTCTCACTATAGACCGAACCACGCCCCTGGGTGCAAGAGCTGACCTTGTCAGTTCCCGGGTAGAAGTCGCAGCATCTGGTTCAACTGCGCATGCACAGCCATCTCCCATCCACTCTCCATCCTCCCAACAGGGTGGAGTTTCAATAACTCAAGGGGAACTTACACCGACCTCACTGATTCCCTCTGAATCTGTTGAGAGATTTAGTGGTCAACAGCCCCGGACCACTACCCACATTCGTTCAAGCACATCGAGTCTAGGTGTCTCCATTCCTACATTTTTAACTTTTTCTAGGACACCTACACTATTCACTGCACATACAGGTGCACGCACCCTAAATGCAACGACCAGAGTGCAAACCATGATGGTCGGAAGTCCTGCTACGCCAAAAATGATTCCATCATTAAATGATTCCAAAAATCAACAGCTAGAACCTAGTTCAAAACTGATGACAACGGGCAATCCTGAGGATCCCGGTGTTTCACACGACAGGTCGCCTTCGACATAGCAGCAAGCTCCCTCTGACAATCAGATACAAGACAAACTTGAAGATCTTCTAGTTCATGATCAATGGCCCCGCAAGTGGACAGAGTGGGATGACCTTAGAGTGGAAGCGGAGCAGTATGAAATGTGTCGAAGCTGGCATCTCAAAGAGTTCCTCAATAAGTATCATGCACAGATGATTGGACTCGATGAAGATGAACTCAAGGAAGGCGAGAATCACAAAGAAAAACCCAAGGAACCAGAACCAACTAAAGAGGTCTGAGAAATTGTAAGAATCAAAACTCCTTTCCTAGAAGAAATCCGAGAGAGAATTTGGCGACAACCAGAAAAGATCAAGAAGTTCAGCGAATTAAATATGCGAGGGATCAATCATCTGAAACGAAAATACCGAGGAGGAAATCTATACATGCTAGGACACAGATCCACAGGGGAACGACGACAAATCCTGAATCATAATCTTGCAACTAGCAGATGTCCTGTATGGAAAATTCTGAAAGTTACAGAAGACTATTTGGAAACAATCAAGTTCTCAGTTTTCCATCTTCAACGAACTGATGGATCAGAGTTTACCTGCCAAGAGAATGACTTCTTTCTACTTCATATGGATGACATCTATCAGATGTTCATGAGATGTAGGGAACTCCCAGTTCACAGAGACAGACTTGCTAAAGAAGGCTTCGAGGCTATCAAGAGGTTCATGACAAGACAGGTTCGATTCTATGCTTCACATGATCTCCAGATGGCTCTTGAGCACAACTATTCAAAGGCTAATCTCACACAACCAGACTTGAAAAGACCTGGACTCGAGCCTTTCAAAGCATATCATATATTTGATAATCCAGTCTCAATCATCTATCTAAATCATAATGATGAGAAACGCCTGATGTTTGTTGACGAAAGAAATAGAAGCAAGAAGAAGCAGATAGATTCTATTTTAAAAGGAATTTTTAGCTTCTGACAGAATTTTTAGCAGATAGATTCTATTTCGATGTTAATCCCAATTCTAACAGAATTTTTTGATGAATTTTTTTTAGCTTCTTATTCATTAAGTCTAGTTCACTCATACCAAATTTCAGATAAAAATTCAACCAGGAAGACATTCAAATGAATTCTTGAAGATAATTGTGCAGTTAAAAGCGCAGTTATCTTCAAGAATTCATTTGAATGTCTTCTCGATTGAATTTTTAGCTGAAATTTGGTATGAGTAAACTAGACTTAGAATAAGATGCTCAAAAAGTTTTATAAAAAAAATCCACCGGGAATCGTCTCAAATAGCACATCCGGACAGAATCTTCTCTATAAAGACTTATTTGACCCCTTTTATGCAACTTCGAGGACCAAACTCACCCTTTACTCATTTAATTTTGTATTAGTAAAAAATAATTAAAAATCAGATTATTAAACTTTTTTAATGAGACGAATTCAACAATTTTTTTCAAAAATAATAATTCACATAAATTTATAAATAAAAAGTAGTCAAAGTAGAGTACATGAATAGTGTGTAATTTGCAATGTTGCAACTAATGCGATATGGAGGATAGTATAAATTTATATATCATTAACATTATATGATACCAAAGTATCATAGATTTAATTGATACTAATGTGTCAAATTATAAAGTGATACCAATGTATCATAAATTTCATTGATACTAAAGTATCACAAATTAGTGACAATTTATCAGTGATACTAAATTTAGTGTCACAATTCCCGACCTTCTATAAAACTTTTCTAGTGTCAGCAAAACTTTCTGTGACACTAATTTAGTGTCACTGTAGACCGTTTTTCTAGTAGTGACATCAACACCCGGCAGGGCTTTTGCAACCACTTACCATTCCAGAATGGAAGTGGAAACATGTGACTATGGACTTCGTGGTAGGGCTACCACGGACGGTAAACAACTATGATGCAGTTTGGGTAGTGGTTGATAGGCCCACCAAGAGCGCACATTTCTTGCCAATCAACATTACTTATCCTCTTGAAAGGTTAGCCAAGTTATATACGGAAGAGATTGTGAGATTGCATGGAGTCCCGATGTCCATTGTCTCAAATAGGGATCCACGATTCACATCCAGGTTTTGGCCAAAGTTTCAAGCATCTTTGGGTACTAAACTGATGTTTAGTACAACTTTTCACCCACAGACGGATGGACAATCCGAACAGGTGATACAGATTTTGGAAGACATGCTTAGGGCGTGTGCTTTGGAGTTCCAACGGAGTTGGGACAGACATTTGGCTCTTGTAGAGTTTGCCTATAACAACAGTTTTCAGGCGAGTATTGGCATGCCTCCATACGAGGCATTATATGGGAGGAAGTGTAGGACACCTTTGTGTTGGAATGAGGTTGGCGAGCCCAAACTCGAAGGAATAGAACTCGTTGAGATCACCAAGGCTAAGGTGAAGATCATTCGTGATAGACTTATGGCTGCCCAAGATCGGCAGAAGAGCTATGCAGACAAATGGCGGAGGCCGTTGGAGTTTGAGGTCGGGGACGAAGTCTGTAACACCGCCCCCAAGTATTTGTACTTTATCAAATTATGTATTGAACCCGAGGAATGAATAAACGCATTTTACGTGATTGTGAATTTTTATCATTTCTTTTACGTGAATAGTAAAATTCACGTGGGGCCCACACCGGAAGTGGGGGCCGCCCGATATGTTCGGGACCACATATTATATTCATTTGGGTCAAGGTAACATGTGTATAATGGTGGGCATCCTTGTTGGACCACATAAATTATGGGAGTAACCGTTTGGGCATATAAAGCCCATTTATCGGTACTCAAGGAATATCAGATAAAAGGGACATAATAAATTATGGAGACCATCAAATTAAAGATGGGGAATATACATTCATTCTTATAGCCAATAATAACTGGAAGAATGAGAGATATTTCATTTTACCCGATAAAACGAAATATGGTTAAAACAGTCCGGAAAATACAACTTTCGGGACCAAATGTACACTTGGGGACTTAAAGGGATGACCTCCCACATGAGTGGGGGCCACCCCACGTTTTTAGTCTTGCATGTGGGAGGGAGAGCCGAATTAAGAGCAAAGAAATTGAGAGGAAATGATGGGGAGACAAAGTGAGAAGGGAAAGGGTCCCCTCTATCACATTATTTGGCCAAAGATGCCAAAAAGAACATCTCCTCACCCATAGACTCCATTATTTCGCCCAAACCTTCCCCAAGGGAGAGAGAAGCTCTTGAAGACACACCTCCATAGTTTCCAGCCGTGCTCAAGGAAGAAGGAAGCTCAAGGGAAAGGATTAAAGGTGAAGAAGTGAGGAAAAGCTTGAGGAAACAAGGTAATGGTTCCACAAATCCTTTCTCCTTTCCTCCAACATGATTATGTAACCATATTTCATACCCATAGAACTGTTCTCCACATTAAATGTGAAGAGTGAGGGGTTGGAAGGTTGGTTCATATCCAAAATGGATTTAGAGAACAAAGTCGACCGGTTTGTCGGAAAATAACCTTATAGAGGTTATTTGTGTTGATATGGGTTTTATGATGATAAAACCTTGTTAATAACTTGTATAAGGTGTTTCAAGAACTTTCACGGAGTTGAAAGGGTCGCCGGAGTTGTCGCCGGAGTTCATTGAAGTTCACCGGAGTTTCACCGGAGCTCAATCGGGAAGGGCTAGAACTCCATAAGCTTCATTAAGGTGAGAAGACGGCTATATGCTTTATAACTTTTGATTGAGGCATGAGATTACCTAAAGTAATCAAGAATATGTTTTATGGAATGATTGAAGTTAATCAAGTATTGGCTTATGCCATGATTATATATAAAACATAGTTGAAAAGCATGTTTTGTATGTTTGGTGATTAAAAATGTGATAACTTATTATGTACAATGCTCCAAGGATCCAAAATGGTATTTTTGGATCAAGGACGACAAGGAGTACATGCGTATAAAATTTCGTGTTAATCGGACTTCGTTTGGGCGGTCAAACGGGCGTTGACCGCCGAGACAAAGGTGATACCCGACCGGGTATGGGTATATACCCGACCGGGTATTGGTTTGAAATGGCCCCAGAAGCCACTGTCTTACTAGACCCGACCGGGTAAGGGTATGGACCCGACCGGGTCTCAAGTAAGATCAGTTCCAGGGGCTTCCTGCCCCGACCTACCCGACCGGGCAAGGATGGATACCCGACCGGGTATTGGACTAGGCCCAAAACAGGCAGTTTTGAGCAGGTTAACGTGGGTCGTTCAAGTGGGACCCGCCCACGTTGGTTACTAGGGATTATTATATGACTATAGGACTAGGTATTGTCCATAGTTAAGTGAATGGAAGGTTAGCCATATCCAGGTTAGGGTTTGGTTAGAAATAAGGTTGAGGTTGAGTATCCTCGGGACGGTAAACGATCCCAAAACTCGGTGAGGTTGAGTATCCTCAGGACGGTAAACAATCCTAAAACTCGGTGAGGTTGAGTATCCTCAGGACGGTAAACAATCCTAAAACTCGGTGAGGTTGAGTATCCTCAGGACGGTAAACAATCCTAAAACTCGGTTGAGGTTGAGCATCCTCGGGACGGCAAATGATCCCAAAACTCGGTGGGGTTGAGTATCCCCGGGAGGGTAAACACTCCTGAAACTCGGTAGGATATTATGAAGGTAGAATGTAGCTCGTGAGCTAGGCATTCGGGAATGAATGGGAAAGGTTGGGTAATCGCCTTACCTCTAAAAGACTCTTTGTGATAAAACGACCCACGGGTCAAGTATTTTACAAGAATATACGGTATGTATTATCTTGGGAATGGGGTAACGATGGTTATACCTATAAATATACGTATCATCCTATTTTTGGGTCTCGTGTCTGAAACATTAGTTATTCCTCATATAGCCTGCTTGTCACTAGTACTTCTATGGAGTACTGACCCCTTCGGGGGCCCTCACATTTTTCAGGTTGAGGCTAGAGTCCTACTACCTGCACCTTCGCCTAGGGTGATTGATCAAGGGGGAAGACGTGGTTCGTGCTTCCATTCTTATTCAAAATTGATGAACTGCTCATGGATATTTTTAACAATGTTTTCTATTAAAACATTTGGGGGCCTGCGTGCCCGTATTTGCCACGTGTGGCTAAGTATCAAACATATCTTATTTTCCGCATTTGTTTGACTAATATATATTGATGTTGATTGTATGGGTTTACTTATCGTCTTGGCAATAGAACTTAACGGACGCCTTGTATGATTTGATAAGGATGAACTACGTTGTTCTTATTGAGTTGTACGGCGGTTGTCTACGTGGCACGGACGCGGTCCGGGGCGTGACAATTAAATGGTATCAGAGCCATCGATTTCTAAACTATATAATTAACCTCTCAATATAGTATCATCAAGAAGTTTTGAACAAAACCATGAGCAAAAGTTTTTGTACTTAAGGAACCGTTGGAAACCAAGTTATTGACCTCTTATTGTTAAGACGGTACCCTTAACAGTTTGCTGGCCATAATGTTGGACCAAGTAGTGTCTTTTGTACTATTCCGTCAATTGACATTGATACGAGTCTAATGGCTCATTCCAAATTTCTTTCAGAAATGGAGGGTAGACGCATGGCTACGAGGAACAACCCGAGAGGGCAAACACCGGTGACGTCCGAAGGGGCTAGCCATGTTGCATCTCGGGGCTCGAGAGGCGGAAGGAGAGGCCGTGGAGGCTGTGGAGGCCGTGGAGGTCATTGGGCTCAAACCGTGAGCGATGACCATGTTAGCTCGGTGCACGGAACTCACACCGAGGATTATGACTCTACTTATGTTCCCGAGACGGAACAGGAGGAGACCCCATACGATGGGGGTGATACGTACACTGATGATGACAATGACGAGAGTGATGCCAAATTCGCCCAGATGGGTGAATTGTTTGAGTGGTATCAAAAAGAGAAACTAAGAAGGGACCTTAGGCGTCAAGCTAGACGTGCCTCTCAGGGGGGATCGGGTCAGGGAAGCCGGGGGGCTTCAGTGGCCATCCCTGTGGCGACACAGGGGGTACAAGGAGGAGGTTTCTGTGTAAGAATATCCAAATACCTCAAGGAGGCGAGGGCCTTGGGGTGTAAGTCATTCGATGGCAAGGGTGACATATCTGTGGCTGCCGACTGGATCAAGAAACTAAATGAGGCTGCTAGGGATATGCAGATCGGGCTTGACATAAAGCTGACAGTTGCTACCAGGTTACTGAAGGGAGTAGCCGCGATATGGTGGGAAGGCGTGGAAGGAAAGTTTCACAGTGAGACCACCTGGGAGAAATTTGAAGTGGAATTCTATAATCAGTACTACTCGGAATTTGAGAAGAATCAGAAAAGGAAGGAGTACATGACCTTGACACAGGAGGATGGGTGCTCGGTAAGGCAATTGGAACAGAGGTTCCGGGACTTGGCACGATACATACCTGAGTACGCCATGGATGAGAACCGCATGGCTAATCACTTCTGGGATACCCTACAGTTGGATATCCGTGATAGGGCCACCTACAATCATCACATGACCTTTAGTGAGATTGTGGATCAAGGGCTACTTGGGGAAGCCAAGTGGAATGAAAGGAAGAAGAGAGACGCCGAAGAGGCGAAGAAGAGGAGATGGGGAAATTCTGGACCCCAAGACCATTCTCGGAAACATCACGCCGGGAATGGAAGTTCATTTAGGGCGCCGGAACCACCGGCAAAGAAGAGCAAGGGTCCAGGAGGGCAAGGGCACAGCTCGGGGAGCGTGAGGCCACCGAGGTGTCTAAACTGTAACAAGAATCATGCCGGGAAGTGCAATGCACCACCCCGGTGCTACAAGTGCGGTAGCACTAGTCACCTCAAGCTTTCTTGCCCAATGTTGAATGGAGGGGGACCATCGGGGGCTATGGAAGGACCTACGGCTAGTAGGGGACGTGCGGGACCATCACAGGCCGGCACGGGAAGGGGCGGACCTATGGCGAGCAATGCCGCGTCCGTTAACCAAGGGAGGACCCAGGCACGTGTGTATGCAATGACCGAGGCGGATGCGCGAGCAAACCCGGACTCCGTTGCAGGTAATGTACTAGATTTTATATGTTTCTAGGCTTATACTAAAGTTATAAGTCCTAGGGGTCATTTGCAAACTGACTTAAGGTCGAATCGAGGGAAATTCAATGAAACCAGGCTGATACCCGACCGGGTAAGGCAGGTCACCCGAACGGGTATACTGAAATTTTTGGCCTGGTAAACCCATTGGAACGGATACCCGACCGGGTATAGTAGGTTACCCGACCGGGTATGATGAAATTTTATACCCGCGGGCTTCTGGAACGGATACCCGACCGGGTACAACAGGTTACCCGACCGGGTATGCCGAAATTCCTCTAGTGGAAAAACGCCAAATAGAGGCGCTTCATTAGAGGCGCTTTTAAACCAAAACGCCTCTATTTGTCGAAATTTTATTTTTTAATATTTTTTACGGAATCGTGCGGCGCTTCTTAAGATAAAACGCCTCTAAAATATTCCCGAATTATTTTTTTCTTAAAAAAACCAAAGATGCTTGCGACGCTTCTTAGTCAAAAGTGCCTTCAATTTGTTTTCGTTTTTTTTTCAAAATAAATGAAACGTGCGTGCGGCGCTTCTGGCCCAAAGCGCCTTGAATAAAAATAGATGAGCCGGTATTTTAATTTCAATCGGAAATAGGCGTGCGGCGCTTGTAGACAAAAAGTGCCTCCCAAGCAATCCAGCTAACCCTACCCGGCCCATCGCCCACAACGTAACGTATTGAGAATCTGTACCAGCCGGGGACGTGCGCTGCTGCCGCCGAGTCCAATCGCCCACAGTTTTCTTCCCGCCGTCGAGTGCCGTTCGTATCGCCACTGCCGTCCGCTGCTGTAGATTCCGGGCCCGACCGCTCTCGGTGCTCTCTGCTGCCGCCGTCGTCTGCTCCCACTAGCTGTTAACTTCTCCAGCTCGCCGTCAATTATTCTTCTGCTCGCCATCTACATAGGTAACTTCGTTTTTCATTCACTTTTTCACATATTTTGGTTGATTTGATTTTTTAATGATTTTAGTTTGTTTGTTTTTTTGCTAAAGTATATTTCTATATATGTTGAATATAATTATGAATAATCATTAATTAATCACTAATTGGTTAAAGTTAGCAATACTCTTCTGATTAAGAGAAAGAAGAACAAATGGAGCAAAGTTAAAGTGTTGGGTATTGTTCTTCCGAATGACCTTTATTTTTTAATAATGTACTTCGTAGTACTTTAAATAAATTTTTTACAGAAGATATTTGAAAACATATCAGGGTTGGAGCATCTTAAAAACATAGAACCTTCCACATAGAAAACGACATTTTGCATTTCAGGTTCATTTCTTGAACCCAAACAGTATCATCCAGATGCAAAGAGACACTTCTCTGGTAATAACCAGGAGAAACTAAATCAATAGGTTCAGCTTTCCAGGTTGAATTCTGCTAAGTGACAATTACTAACTTATAAACTTACCCTTTGACATACATTTCATCTTGACTCACGGTGATGTTTGGATATCTGGATATTACTCATGGGTACTATTGCCTTGAAAAATACAAACCAAAGTGACAGCTTTTATCATTTTCAGTGAATCATAATGTTTTATAAATACTACATTAATATAAAAAGGGAATTCAGAAGAACAGTGCGACTATTTAACTTTGCTCCATTTAATTTTTTCTTCGTTTTATTTTGGCATGGTTAAGTTTTTTTTTAACTAATAAAACGGTAACTTGTTGTTAAATATTATGTATGTGATTAGTATTATTTAAGTTAACATATATTTAGTTGAATGTGTACATATAATGTCATTATTATTATAAGAATAATAATTTATTTTTATTGTTATTTGAAAATTATATAATACCTGGTCTAGTTGGTAGATATTTATATTATTTGCAAATTTAGCACTAAACCAATATGTGATATTAATTACATGCACGTTGTATAATATATGATTATTAGAAAAATGTAGAACTCTGGTCAAGATGGATCGTTCTTGGATGTATGGTCGTCGAGACACGACTGAATTTTTCATTGGTGCAAATGGGTTCATCAAAGCTGCCGTTACACACCAGAAACAACAAGGACATAAAGGAATTTTATGTCCTTGCTTAAGGTGCCGAAACTTGAGAAGAGAGAGTGACGTCAATGTTATACTTCAACATCTGTTTGAGAGAGGTTTTAGAGAAAATTACACAATTTGGACATTACATGGTGAAACTTGCCAGAATGGTGAGAATGTTGTTTCACGAGCTGCCGCTGATAATTTAAAGCGCAAATCCCCTGATACTACCACCGAGTTAAATTGGAACAGTGGCAACAATGGGGATGATGATTTTAATGATGATCAAATGGATGATTTTTTGAAGGATGTGCATGATAATTTTGAACAACAACCAAAATCATATGAAAGTATGGTTGATGCTGCCAGAATACCTTTGTATTCTACCTCTAGTTTTACCAAGCTGTCTGCGGTGTTGAAATTGTTTCATTTGAAAGCGAAACATGGATGGAGCAATGCCAGTTTTACAGAGTTATTGACATTGATTCAAGAGATGTTGCCTGAAGGGAATACACTTCCTGATACAACGTATAAGGCAAGAAAGTTATTGTGTCCCATGGGAGCTGAATGGGAGAAATTTCACGCTTGTCCCAATGATTGTGTGTTGTACCGGAATGAGTACGAAAACCTTGATGAATGTCCAACGTGTCATCTTTCTCGCTACAAGGCTAAAAGGAGTACCAATAGTGCTAGTGACACTGAGAGTTCCAAAATTCCTGCAAAAGTTCTGTGGTATCTCCCCATTATTCCGAGATTTAAAAGGTTATTCATGAATGCAAAAGATTCCAAACATTTAGTTTGGCATTCTCAGGGTAGAAAAAAAGATGAGTACTTACGTCATGTGTCTGATTCTCCACAATGGAGGCAAATTGACTTGAAATATCCTGAATTCGGCAGGGAGGACAGGAATTTGAGACTTGGCTTATGCACAGATGGTATGAACCCATATGGTACACTCAGTAGTCAACATAGCACTTGGCCAGTTTTATTGGTTATTTACAATTTGCCTTCATGGTTGTGCATGAAACGCAAATACATCATGTTGTCTCTTCTTATCTCGGGACCAACACAACCAGGTAATGATATTGATGTGTACCTTGCACCGCTTATTGACGATCTCAAACTGTTGTGGACCGAAGGTGTTAGAACATACGACATGCATACCAAATCTTATTTTCAAATGCGTGCTATGTTGTATTGCACTATAAATGATTTTCCAGCATATGGAAACCTTTCAGGTTACACAGTCAAAGGTGCAAAAGCATGTCCTATATGTGAAGATGATACAGCTGATTTGCGATTACCTCATTGCAAAAAAAATGTTTACATGAATCATCGAAGGTTTCTTCCGCGCACTCATCGTTATCGTTCATTGAAGAAGGCATTTAATGGAAAAACAGAGCATGAAGTAGCTCGTCCACCATTAAGTGGTCATGATGTGTACAATAGGGTGAAAGATTTGAACACAATCTTTGGAAAACCTTATAAGCGGAACAAGCAAAGCCTTTGGAAGAAGAAATCTATATTCTGGGAGCTTCCTTATTGGAAAGACCTATCAGTAAGGCACTGTCTTGATCTCATGCACATTGAAAAGAATGTGTGTGATAGCATCATTTCGACTATTCTGAATGTTCCTGGAAAGTCAAAAGACGGCATAAATATTCGAAAAGACATGGTTGAGCATCTGAATATTCGGAAAGAATTAGCACCACAACCACGTGAGAATGGATTTTTTCTTCCAACGGGCAGCTATACATTATCAAAGGCCGAGAAAAAAAGTTTCTGTGAGTGCTTACATGGGATAAAGGTCCCATCAGGGTATGCGTCGAATATCAGAAATCTTGTATCACTGCAAGATATGAAATTGATTGGGTTGAAATCTCATGACTATCATGTTTTGATGAAACATTTGTTACCTGTTGCTTTACGAGGTCTGCTACCTGATCATGTTCGGCATGCCATTATGAGGTTGAGTTTCTTCTTCAATTCTATATGCCAAAAAGTAATTCATCCAGAGAAACTTGATGATTTACAATCAGAAGTGGTTGTTACATTATGTCAACTTGAAATGTATTTTCCGCCATCATTGTTTGACATTATGGTGCATCTTGTAGTGCACTTAGTTAGAGAGGTGAAGATGTGTGGGCCGGTGTTTTTGAGGTACATGTACGGAATGGAGAGACACATGGGTTATTTAAAATCAAAAGTTAAAAACCGTTGTCGACCGGAAGGTAGCATCATCAGAGGCTTAATTGATGAAGAAGTCATTGAATTTTGTACTCCATATTTAACGAATGTTGAATCTTTGGGAGTACCAAAGTCTAGACATGATGACAGACTTGAAGGAAAGGGCACTCTTGGGAAGAAACAAGTAAAGAATGTGGATAATGACTTGTTGGGAAAAGCTCATCTTCTCGTGTTGCATCATCTTGAAATTGTTCATCCTTATGTGCAACAACATATGAATGTCTTGAGATCTCGGTTTGCTTTGAAAAGTGAAATTTGGTTGACTAAAGAACACAACCGAACATTTGCATCTTGGTTTAAGGATTTAATTTTCAATGACATTGATAATGTGTACAATGAAGTTGATGATGATATTAAGTGGTTGGCCTATGGTCCTAAACGACCAATTGATTCCTTTGAAGCCTATGATATCAATGGCTACACTTTTTATACTACTAGACAGGATGAAAAGTTAGTGTTACAGAATAGTGGTGTGTCTGTGGTAGCATCTTCGACTGAGTATGCTAGTGCAAATGATCAAAATCCGTTATATGCGAGGTCTTCTTACTATGGAAAAATAGAAGACATTTGGGAGTTAAATTACACAACTCGAGCTTTTGCCATTTTCAAGTGTCAATGGGTTGACATTCGTCGAGGGGTGCAACGTGATGACACTGGAGTCACATTAGTAGATTTTAACCGATCAGGACATCGTGATGATCCGTTCATACTTGCATCACAAGCTGAACAAGTGTTTTATGTAGAAGATCCTTCAAATAAACGATGGTCAATTTGTTTACCTGGCAAGAAAAAGATTACATGTAATTTTGAGGATGAGGAAGATGATTATGTTGAGGAAATGCCCTCATTATCCATCGGGATGTGTGAAAGAAACATAACAAATGATCACAATGAGGATGATCTTCCATTCATTGCACATCATAATGATGGTATTGAAGTGTTTACGGAAAAAGCTAAGTGAGGAATTGTAAGTTGTTTTGAATTTAATTATTTGATAATGTTATTAATTTATTATTAAGATTGAATTATTATTATTTATATTTGTGCTAATCATTATGCATGCGTATGAATTGCAGGTTCACACTATGAGCGACGATGATGGGGACGATCATGATCATAATCATGATCGTCATGGCGGCGGCGGCGGCTGTCAAAGAGACATCGAGGGGAAAAAAATAATTGAACTTGCTGATAATGATGCTGTCATCGGAGGGTGGGCTGAAGAGTTTAAATCATTCATGGGGAAGATGGTACGTTCTCGAGTGAGTATAAACACTGATAGTTGGAAGAAAGTTTCAAAGAAAACTAAAGATCAAATATTTAAAGAGATACAGGTATGTAAAACTCTCCAATTGTACAAGCTTATGAAATATTATCTTCATTGAGATAGTTAGTATATAATTTATGCTAACACTTTGTTTTTGATGTTATAATGCAGCATGACTATGCTGTGGATGATATGATGAAGAAACCAATTTTGAAAAGGTTGGGCAAAATGCACAAAGATTGGAGAAATCGGTTGCGATCAGGTTTCATACATATGACTCGTCAACTAGGGAAGGATTGTGGGGAAGCTTATGAGAAGTACAAAGACCAATTTACCAAGGAAGAATGGGATGAGTTCGTGACGAAGACTATGACTCCGGAGTTTGTGGTATGTCATACAATTAAAAGAATTCAATATTTTATTTAACTAATTTAATATTTATTTAACATTGACTAGGCTTTGAGCGAGAAGAATAGATTAGCTGCTCTTAAGAATATCTATCCTCACCACATGGGTCGATCAGGATATGTTCTTTCCATACCAAAATGGAAAGAGCAAGGATTATTGGATAAGTTTGTTACCAGTTCAGATGTAGATTCAACGAACTCTAGCACAGTCATTACTGATGATATTCCAAGACATGTCACTTGGTTTTGTGCAAGATCTGGATTAACAGCGGATGGTCAGTTAGTTTTTCCTGGTAATACTGAGGGCATGCTTGAGAAAAAAGAGAAGTTGGTAAGTTATAGCAAGCATAGGTATACTCATATAATTAAATCATGTTTATTTTTTCAACATTAAATTCTATTGTTTCTGTATTAGGATAAAGTTAAAGAAGATTTAGCAGCTGGCACTTGGAAGCCAACCGGACGAAATGATATATTGGCTGAGGTTGTTGGGAAGCCAGATTATCCCGGACGTGCACGTGGCGTCGGTGGGGGTGTCGGTTATACACATGTCTTTGATCGTGAGCCCAGGAGCAGACCTAAGGTTGGTAATTTGAGTGATGCTCAGCTAAAACAATTGCAAGAGCTCTTGATGAAAGATATGCAAAATCACTTTGTTTCAAAAGGTGAAGTTCCTACCGGGGATTCGATGCCCGCTTCCGAGGCGGCCCAGGCGGACACCATGAACTCTGTTGCACCTCTTCGTAAAAGATCTTTCATTGTAAGTAAGCATTTAATAAATTTTAACGTAACCATCCTATATGTAAGTAACCATTTAATAAATATGTCATCTGTTTTATTATCATTTTATTTTTCATTCGTTATGAACATATATGCAGGATGGTGTATCATGTAAGCTTGCAATTGAGTCGCACATTCATTCTGGTGATAAGAGTTTTGACTTTGTGGCAGTTGGTGTAGCCTACAACACGTCTGTTGGGGCGGTAATCCATAATGTACCGATGTGTAAAACCCCATCAAAGTGAACATATCTATGGCATATCAAGGTTTTGAAGATTGTCCATTGCCATATCCTAATGAAGCCGCTGATATCTTTGTTGTAGCAGATGCTGTAGGTTCATATGTCCAGTGGCCATCTCATTTAGTGTTTTTTGAGGAAGAGGTAATGAAGTAATTGTTTCATTTTTTACATTTAATGCTTATTTCTTTATGAAATTGTTTCATATTCTTTACTATAATAATTATTTTAGGAACCACCTTCTAAGTAAAAAAAAAGGAATGAGGCTAAGCAAAAAGTACCCTTTATCTTTAGAGATTCACCTAAAGTAACGGTTGAACCCAGCTCACATTCATTGGTCAGTGAAACTGTTCTTCATTCACTTAGTGGTGATCTTTTAAGATTGCATGATAATCTTGAGTGGTATGAGCCTGATCTTTGCAAGTTTAGTGTTCCTCTTCCTGCGGAGTTGTTCTATTATATTGATGATAGCCAATTTGGGATCGTTGTTGACCGTCAAGACTTGAGTCAATTTCTTGAGAGTGATTCTATTGATATGTCAATCATTCAGACCTTTATGATGTAAGTATTATAATAAGTTTATAAATACTCTTGAGTATTTGTTAGACTTAATTACTAGTTAATTATTAATTATTATTAATATCATCATTCCACGTGCAGTTGCCTAAATGCAAAATTGGTTGACTTTGGTCGTGATGACGTGGGTCTTTTGTGTCCTTTGATTTGTTCTTTGAAATATTATGAATTGCATAAAAAAGGCACACAGACTTATTTGAAGCATGCTCTGGTTCAAATGTTTGAAAAGAATCTCATTCTCTTGGCATATAATGAAGGGTATGATTCATATATTACATTCTTTTTAATGTATTTACATAACAAGTATTTTTACCCCTTTTCTATTCTCTTGTGAAATATAGGTATCATTGGATTTTATTTGTAATTTGTCCAAAGGTTGATAAGGGCTATATCTTCAATTCATTGCCAAGTTCATCCAATTTTGCTATTCAAGATGATCTTACGATGTATGTATTTTTAATCACTTGCTTGTGATATTTAACATTTATATTTGTATGTCAACATTGAGCATGTAAATACATAAACATTGAATTATCATTATAGGATGTATAGAGTTGCTTCTACACAAAAAGGACGTGGCAAGTCAATCAAATGGCATAATGTCAAGGTAATTTCATCATACATCTTTTTTTATTTACACAAGTTATGATTTATTTTAAAAAGAATCATATTTTGAAATAATATTTTATATTTTTCATATAATATATAGTGTGCAAGACAAACGGGCAATACAGAATGTGGGTATTATGTCATGAAGTTTATGTGGGAAGTAATAACATATGTTGGAAGTGCAGATATTGGACAGGTATATTAATTATATGTACTTCAATAGGTGGATTTCATTAAATTATTTAACTTATTTATAATTTAGTTTTTCATTATTTATCTTATATTTATTCTTCTTATGTATGAACATTTTTCAGGTTTGGAATTCAAGAAGTGAACCATATACGACGGAGGAGTTTAATGATATCAGAAATGCGTGGGCTAGGTTTTTCGTAGACGAAGTTATGAATATGTAGGGGAATTTTGAGCATGTATCAAACTTGAATGTAATTTATTTCTATTATGATACAAATCTAATTTGTACTACTTTTGTAGTTTAGTTTGTGTGAAACGATCTATCGATATCATGTTATCCTGGATTTATGAATGAATGTGTAGTTTTGGCTGGTGAGATTGATATGTAAATATAACAGGTGATATGGTTTTAGTAAATTATTGAAAAAAAAAAGAACAATTGGAGGCGCTTTGTCAAACACAAGCGCCTGCAAAATAATTTTTGTAATAACGTTGGAGGCGCTTCTTTTCTCAAAAGCGCCGCACAACATTTAAAAATCGGCCAGCAAGAATCATATCAGAGGCACTTGTTATTAAGAAAGCGCCTCCAATTACTAAAAAAAACGCGCGTGCGACGCTTTTCCATCAAGAAGCGCCGCCGAAAACTGAATTAAATTAAATAAAAAATAAAGATTAGAGGCGCTTTCCTGCTCAAAAGCGCCTCCATTTTGAATTTGCATCACATTCACCGGAGGCGCTTCGAAGCGCCGCGCGTCCCCCCAAAAAAGCGCCTCCAATCGGCGTTTTTCCACTAGTGTTCCATACCCGCCAGTGTTACCAGACCGGGTATAGCAAGAGAATTGCTTCTGGATTGGATACCCGACCGGGTACAAAGATGTACCCGACCGGGTATGGCTATATATTTTTGAGTACGGATTTTTTCGGAGGCCTACAGTTCAATTTTGGGTAGGCAAAGTACCTTACATGACTTATAAATGTAGGAACGTTAAAGATTAATGGAAGGGATGCGAGAATCCTTATCGATACGGGAGCACAACGTTCATTCGTTAGTGAGGTGTTTGCCATGGGCTTAGACACATCTTTAACACCAATGACGCAAACCCTATTGGTGTCTACGCCTCTAGGGGATGACGTTGAACGAAATGACTACTATCCTTCATGTGATGTGGAGATAGGGGAGCACTGTCTAAAGGGGGACTTTGTACCGTTAGCCATGCTTGAGTTTGATGCCATACTTGGCATGGATTGGCTTGAAAAGCACCATGCAAAGGTAGATTGCTACACCAAGGTGTTAGAACTCAAGGATGGTGAAGGAAATACTGTATTTTTCAAGGGAGATAGAGGAAAATTCAATCCTTGCATCATATCGACCATAAGAGCAAGGCGTATGATGAGGAAGGGATGTCAAGCTTACTTAGCCTATGTCATAGGCAAGGAAGGCAAGGGGAAGAGTATCACGGAAGTGAGGGTGGTGAGTGAGTATCCGGAGGTGTTCCCTGAAGAGCTACCGGGACTCCCACCCGATCGGGAGATCGAGTTCGAGATCGAGGTTGAACCAGGCACCAAACCCATCTCAATTCCTCCGTATCGAATGACGCCGGCTGAACTTCAAGAGTTGAAAGTTCAATTGGAAGAGTTACTAGATAACGGGTTCATTAGACCAAGTCATTCACCATGGGGAGCACCTGTACTCTTTGTAAAGAAGAAGGATGGCACAATGAGAATGTGTATCGACCACCATCAATTGAACAAGGTCACGATAAAGAACAAATATCCTTTGCCAAGGATTGACGACTTGTTTGATCAATTGCGGGGGGCAACCGTGTTCTCCAAGATCGACTTGAGGTCGGGCTACCATCAACTAAAGATCAAGGAGAGTGACATACCCAAAAGTGCATTCCGTACAAGGTATGGTCACTATGAGTTCCTAGTGATGTCGTTTGGGCTTACAAATGCCCCCGCGGCATTCATGGACCTCATGAACCGGGTATTTCATCAATAATTGGACCAATTCGTCATAGTGTTCATTGATGACATTTTGATATACTCCAAGAACGAAGAAGAACACGAGAAACATCTAAGGCTCGTACTTGGAACACTGCGGGAGAAGCAACTCTTTGCCAAATTCTCTAAGTGTGAATTTTGGCTTGGAGAGATCGGTTTTCTCGGGCACGTGGTATCAGGTTCGGGCATTTCAGTTGATAACTCGAAGATTGAAGCAGTCACTAATTGGGAGAGGCCCAAGAATGTGAAGGAAATAAGGAGTTTCCTTGGTTTGGCAGGGTATTACCGCAAATTCGTGGAGAAGTTCTCCGTAATAGCATCTCCACTCACGAAGCTCACCAAAAAGGGAGCTAAGTTTGTGTGGGATGACAAGTGTGAGAAGGGGTTTCTTGAGCTAAAGAAACGGTTGACTGAAGCACCAGTACTTGCTCTACCCGTGCAAGGGTTGGGGTATGACATCTATAGCGATGCTAGCATCCAGGGGCTTGGGTGCGTACTGATGCAATCGGGGAAGGTAATTGCTTATGCTTCTCGGCAACTGAGGAAGCATGAAGCGAATTACCCCACACATGACCTTGAGCTAGGAGCTGTGGTGTTTGCTTTGAAGATTTGGAGGCATTACCTCTACGGTGACGTGTGTCACATTTATACAGATCACAAGAGTTTGAAGTACGTGTTCACTCAGAAAGAGTTGAACATGAGGCAAAGAAGATGGATGGAGTTAATCAAGGATTACAACTTGATTATTGACTATCATCCAGGTAAGGCTAACGTGGTTGCTGATGCTCTCAGTAGGAAAAGTTCATCGGGGGTTTTACTCACATGCTTACAAGCATTGAGGGCACACGTGGAAGTATCCACGAATGGGGCTCTATTGGCCAGATTTGAGGTGAGACCCATCCTATTAGACGAAATCAGAACGCGTCAAGGCAATGACGAGGAAATTCAAAAAATCCGGGAACGGATGCTGGTGGGACCCGTCGAGGGTTTCCGTGAGAGAGAAGATGGACTCCTACTATTCAAGGAGCGAGTGTGTGTGCCGTCAGATGAGGAGCTCCGAAAATCTATTCTTGAGGAGGCTCACTCATCTGCGTATGCCATGCACCCAGGTGGAACAAAGATGTACCGGGACTTGAAAGAAAGTTACTGGTGGTCGGGGATGAAGAGAGAGATTGCTGAATATGTGAGTCGTTGCCTTACCTGTCAGCAGGTTAAAGCAGAGCACCAGCACCCGGCAGGGTTATTACAGCCACTTACCATCCCAGAATGGAAGTGGGAGCATGTTACTATGGACTTCGTGGTAGGTTTGCCACGGACGGTTAGGAACTTTGATGCGGTATGGGTGGTAGTTGATAGGTTGACCAAGAGTGCTCATTTTCTACCTATCAACACTACTTATACGCTTGAGCGACTGGCCAAGTTGTATACTGATGAGATCGTGAGACTGCATGGGGTCCCGGTCACTATAGTGTCGGATAGAGACCCACGGTTCACATCACGATTTTGGCCTAAGTTCCAAGAATCCATGGGAACAAAGTTGAGGTTTAGCACGGCATTCCATCCTCAGACGGATGGGCAATCTGAACGGGTGATTCAGATTTTGGAGGACATGTTGAGGGCATGTGCCTTAGAGTTCCAAGGAAGTTGGGACAACCAGTTGGCTTTGGTGGAATTTGCTTATAACAACAGTTATCAAGCAAGTATAGGCATGCCTCCATACGAGGCATTGTATGGGAGGAAATGTCGGACACCTTTGTGTTGGGATGAGGTAGGCGAGGCTAAGCTTGAGGGCGTCGAGCTAGTCGAAATCACCAAGGAGAAGGTGAGGGTTATTCAAGATAGACTCAAGGCTGCCCAAGATCGGCAGAAGAGCTATGCAGATAAACGACGAAGGACGTTAGAGTTCGAGGTCGGCGATGAGGTATTTTTGAGGGTGTCACCTTGGAAAGGGATCATCAGGTTCCTCAGTCGGGGTAAGCTTAACCCACGCTACATAGGCCCATTCAAAATCATTGAAAGGATTGGGGTTGTAGCGTACCGGCTTCAGTTAACTCCAGAATTAGAAAAGATTCATAATGTATTTCATGTTTCTATGCTCAAGAAGTATGTACGGGACCCGTCACATATTCTTGAGAAACCACCGGTAGAAATCCGGGAAGACCTTCACTATGCGGTGCAGCCGGTAAAGATCATGGACCGACAGGTAAAGAAGCTAAGGAGTAAAGAGGTACCGATGGTGAAGGTGCTTTGGAAGAGTGATCGTGTCGAGGAGCAAACTTGGGAAGTGGAGACCCTGATGAGGGAACAGTATCCATTTCTGTTTGACTAGACACGTGGATTTCGGGGACGAAATCCCAAATAAGGGGGGTAGAACTTGTAACACCGCCCCCAAGTATTTGTACTTTATCAAATTATGTATTGAACCCGAGGAATGAATAAACGCATTTTACGTGATTGTGAATTTTTATCATTTCTTTTACGTGAATAGTAAAATTCACGTGGGGCCCACACCGGAAGTGGGGGCCGCCCGATATGTTCGGGACCACATATTATATTCATTTGGGTCAAGGTAACATGTGTATAATGGTGGGCATCCTTGTTGGACCACATAAATTATGGGAGTAACCGTTTGGGCATATAAAGCCCATTTATCGGTACTCAAGGAATATCAGATAAAAGGGCCATAATAAATTATGGAGACCATCAAATTAAAGATGGAGAATATACATTCATTCTTATAGCCAATAATAACTGGAAGAATGAGAGATATTTCATTTTACCCGATAAAACGAAATATGGTTAAAACAGTCCGGAAAATACAACTTTCGGGACCAAATGTACACTTGGGGACTTAAAGGGATGACCTCCCACATGAGTGGGGGCCACCCCACGTTTTTAGTCTTGCATGTGGGAGGGAGAGCCGAATTAAGAGCAAAGAAATTGAGAGGAAATGATGGGGAGACAAAGTGAGAAGGGAAAGGGTCCCCTCTATCACATTATTTGGCCAAAGATGCCAAAAAGAACATCTCCTCACCCATAGACTCCATTATTTCGCCCAAACCTTCCCCAAGGGAGAGAGAAGCTCTTGAAGACACACCTCCATAGTTTCCAGCCATGCTCAAGGAAGAAGGAAGCTCAAGGGAAAGGATTAAAGGTGAAGAAGTGAGGAAAAGCTTGAGGAAACAAGGTAATGGTTCCACAAATCCTTTCTCCTTTCCTCCAACATGATTATGTAACCATATTTCATACCCATAGAACTGTTCTCCACATTAAATGTGAAGAGTGAGGGGTTGGAAGGTTGGTTCATATCCAAAATAGATTTAGAGAACAAAGTCGACCGGTTTGTCGGAAAATAACCTTATAGAGGTTAT